TGGTGATGGTGCGACGACAGCCTTGTTGTGATGGCGGTGTAGGACAAGGCGGGGGATTGGCTTTGTTGTTGTAGTTCACGGGTCTCCAAACTTTTCAGTCCGAGGGCCGCATTAACTATCAAATTTCCGTTCGGGGGCCAGTTTCTTCCGGGCATGTCTTTGATTTTTCTGGGCAAAGTTCCTTAGCCATCACCAACAAATGTTTTTTCCGTGGACAATAAGATCTCCGCGGGCCGGATGAGAGGACCTCGCTTGGAGACCCCTGTTGTAGTTCAACAAACTATAGGGGACAATTATGTCAAGCAGGACCGTCAGTTCATCATTGGGGGGGGGGACCAGAATGGCGCAATGGCAGGACTTGACGTAGTCTGTTCAATGTTTACGGTTTGTAAGACAATGAACATGTCTGTCTACTAGCTTTGTAAGACAATGAACATGTATGTCTACTAGATCTAGGTTTGTAAGACAATGAACATGTCTGTCTACTAGGTTTGTAGGACAATGAACATGTCAGTCTACTAGATCTAGGTTTGTAAGACAATGAACATGTATGTCTACTAGATCTAGGTTTGTAAGATAATGAACATGTCTGTCTACTTGCTTTGTAAGACAATAAACATGTCTGTCTACTAGGTTTGTAAGACAATGAACATGTCTGTCTACTAGCTTTGTAAGACAATGAACATGTCTGTCTACTAGCTTTGTAAGACAATAAACAAGTCTGTCTACTAGCTTTGTAAGACAATGAACATGTCTGTCTACTAGGTTTGTAAGACAATGAACATGTCAGTCTACTAGATCTAGGTTTGTAAGACAATGAACATGTATGTCTACTAGATCTAGGTTTGTAAGACAATGAACATGTCTGTCTACTAGCTTTGTAAGACAATGAACATGTATGTCTACTAGATCTAGGTTTGTAAGACAATGAACATGTCTGTCTACTAGCTTTGTAAGACAATGAACATGTATGTCTACTAGATCTAGGTTTGTAAGATAATGAACATGTCTGTCTACTAGCTTTGTAAGACAATAAACATGTCTGTCTACTAGGTTTGTAAGACAATGAACATGTCTGTCTACTAGCTTTGTAAGACAATAAACATGTCTGTCTACTAGGTTTGTAAGACAATGAACATGTCTGTCTACTAGCATTGTAAGACAATGAACATGTCTGTCTACTAGGTTTGTAAGACAATGAACATGTCTGTCTACTAGCTTTGTAAGACAATGAACATGTCTGTCTACTAGCTTTGTAAGACAATGAACATGTCTGTCTACTAGATCTAGGTTTGTAAGACAATGAACATGTCTGTCTACTAGCTTTGTAAGACCACAAACATGTCAGTCTACTAGCTTTGTAAGACAATGAACATGTCTGTCTACTAGGTTTGTAAGACAATGAACATGTCTGTCTACTAGCTTTGTAAGACAATGAACATGTCTGTCTACTAGGTTTGTAAGAAAATAAACATGTCTTTCTACTAGGTTTGTAAGACAATGAACACGTCTGTCTACTAGCTTTGTAAGACAATGAACATGTCTGTCTATTAGCTTTGTTAGACAATGAACATGTCTAACTACTAGCTTTGTAAGACAATGAACATGTATGTCTACTAGATCTAGGTTTGTAAGACAATGAACATTTCTGTCTACTAGCTTTGTCAGACAATGAACATGTATGTCTACTAGATCTAGGTTTGTAAGACAATGAACATGTCTGTCTACTATCTTTGTAAGACTACAAACGAGAAAATGTTCAATGCATTTGGTCGAGACGATGTCTCATGTTAAATATAGAACCAGCACCATTTGTTTTTAGCCATGATTTACGGACTAAAGTATTTAGCTTGCTATACTTTATTTTATTTCCCGAAATATATTTCTGATATTTAAAGACTACTTTTTTTACTTTCTCGTATATACGAAATATAAAGAAAGTCTTGTAATCGTGCAAAAAAAAAATCTAGATTTTTAAAAAAATCTCGACGTTTTACACCTCCCTGAGTCGGAGAAACATAGTTTTGCAATCTTGTCCGTATGTCACTATTATGCATATTTTGTTTGGAGTTCACTTGGTGTGCAATTCTTTTTTCTACGAGATTTTATTCTATTTTAAAAAGTTTAAGTATTAAAAATCATGTCTATATCCCGATTTGCTATCCCCTTTTGTTTTATATCAGAATATTCGATAAATTTTAGGGGAGATCACTCTCGGTTTATTTCGAAATTAGTGACAATTATAGAATTATATTTTTATCGACAAGATGGCGTAAGACTCAAATACCACTTTAAGCTGAAGAGCTCTTCTCGAGTTGACGAAATAGCTTTGACTTTAAGAAAGAAACGCGCGATATAATCCAATGAGCTAATGAATAGATTTGTCAGGGCAAGCTAGTAGAACGTTCTAGAAACAGAAATCATGTGTGAGATATCAGGGGCACGTATAAGCTTGTTTCTCAGAAAGCCGTTGCTACCAACACTCGATTTGGCGTGTGTGTAAACAATTTATCTGGCAAGACGACGATTTCAAAAAGTTTTAACTTTTTGCCTGTAGACCTTTTGCATTAGGTGGGGGCTTATCTGAACAAGATTCCGTAGAACTACATGTTTTGGATAACATGAAAGACCATAATAACGAAGGGGTTCGTTTAACGGAATTGTCCTTAAAATGGAATGGTTCGTATAACCGGTTTTTGTCTAAGCAAGTGGTTATTGATCAATGCCCCTAAATAAAAACAAGACTGCAATAGCACAGCGTCCCTCTACTCTGTAATAATCAGAAGCTCGACCACCATGATGTCAGAGTAGAGAGTTCGTCAATATTGTGATGACCTTTAGCGCTTTGTAACGTCAAGCAAAGGTCAAGGTTAAAAAGCGTTGTTGCGTGCCCACCAGCTTCATTTCACGCACGTACGCGCATTCACACTCTTACACTTTTATAATGTATTAATAAAATACATATTGTATTGTGTATTCTAAAAACACACACTACACCGTATATTTTCTTTCGTTATTTTCTAGATTAATATTATTGATATTCTTTATGTAAACTACCCTTTAAATAACACACTGTTGATATTGTGCGATTATTTCATAATTTTAACATAGTATCAAATATTATGTAAAGTAGTTGCAATAGTAGATCTTGATTGACTTAATATTAAAATGTGTTAAAAAATTTGCCCCATTATAAATGAAGAACCTGTAAGATGCAATAAAACAAAGAAAACCTGAACATATTCAATATTCCTTAAAAGGTTGTTTTAAAGGTCAGGGACCTTTGTGAATATCTCCTCCTAATAAATTACGAAAGCTAAATTGGGGGAGATTGGCGGACTTGAAGTGGTTAGCAACTCAGATTGGCGTGGTAAATTAAAGGTGCTAATCAATTATCTAATTAGAAGCTCGTGAAATCACTGGTAAATATGTTCCGGGGGCTTTATAGGAAAATTAGCCCATGATGAGTTTTTTTAAGATATTGATGAGAATCGTCCAAGTCTGGTACAAGTCACTCACCATTATAAGCACGTGCCCATGGCAGTTTGTGAAAGCCGGCCATATGAAGGCTGTGTATAACAGCACTCACCCAATCACAGTTAAAGTAAAGTTTATTTTTAGACCTAGCGATTTATTTGGCTGGTGAGGTAGAGTTCATATGTTTTACATATAAAGGGATGGTGTGGTCAGCATTATGCCAAGCTGTCTGTGGTTCCCTAACATCATTCAGGTACCAAATATAGCTGAGTAGACGCAGGGACGTCCTACAATCAAAAGTCCTAACAAAGATCTGAACTCAACACCTTCGGGGTATTATCCAAAGGCTCTACCATTCGACCACGCCCTTTACAGTACAAACTCTTTGTAAAAAAAAAAATTAAAATACCCACAAATGTTTTCACTACAGAAATAATTAATTGACACAGTATCACTAAGAAACATTAAAACAGTATCAGAAACATTAAAACAGTATTAGAAACATTAAAACAGTATCAGAAACACTAAAACAGTATCAGAAACATTAAAACAGAATCAGAAACATTAAAACAGTATCAGAAACATTAAAACAGTATCAGAAACACTAAAACAGTATCAGAAACATTAAAACAGAATCAGAATCATTAAAACAGTATCATTTAGAGCCAAAATTTAACGAAACCAGTTACAAAAAAATGTATTCATAACTACGAACTATTCCCCATGTATGTAATGCAATAGCAGCTATTGAGACATTGAAATTGTATATGTATAACTATAAGCCCCCTACATTTGCCACTAAGAGATATTTGTTCCTGTCCCTTTCTTTACAAAGGAAATGTGGCTTTTCAGCTTTTTTATATATATTGTCGTGTTATAAACGTATAATTCTCAAATGTCAACCTTTGTCAGGTGAATGCTATACACGTTGAGAATGTGAAGAGAAAATGTAAACGTGATATTTAGACTTGACAATGTGTTAACACTGTGTAACCTGATATATAGGGTTGACTCGGACTTTGTAACTCGATATATACGGCTAACATTTTGAAGAAAAAAAATGTGCAACTTAATATATAGGGTTGACATTTGTACAGTCTGTGTAACTTGGTATATAGTACTGACACATCTAAAAAAATTGAGTAACTTGATATATTTTACTAACATACTTAAAAATTGTTTACCTTGATATATGTTACTAACACGTTTTAAAATATTGTACCTTGAGTAACATTGAAACATGGTTCCGACACATCTAAAGATTGTGTACCTTAATATTTAGGACTGACATTTGTTTATACTCTTGGAGCAGGACATTACCCCCCCCTACGTCAGTCCCCTACCCCCGGACATTTCGCCCCTATACCCTACCCTTCTACCCCTCCCACCTCCCCGTCAATCACCCTACCCCCGGACATTTCGCCCCTATACTCTACCCTTCTACCCCCCTCCCCGTCAATCACCCTACCCCCCGGACATTTCGCCCCTATACTCTCTACCCTTCTCCCCCCCCCCCCCCCCAGGATCCACAAGACTTGGCACATCTTCTGTACGACCGTGGTCAACTGGACCCTCGTCCTGATCGCAGTCACGCGCTACGTGTCCATCGCCTACCCCTTCCGGTCCCACCTGATGGTCACTGAGGGCCGGACCCTGGTCTTTCTGGGCATCATCATCGTCATCTCGGGCTGTGCCTCGCTCATCCCCTACAAGCAGTACGTCAGGTGAGTTGGCAGGTGGGTACCCGGTACCCGGGCGGGATGGGTACCCTGGACATTACGGCAAAGGCGTAACGACCCCTCCCGGCGCCCGGGGACAAACTTTCAATTTGGCGCCCCCCACCCCCATATATTTTTTATATTTATAATTCAAAATAGCAGCTTAAGTCAGAGGGTCGGCGCTCGGAGACATATGTACCCCACGCCCGCCCCTCCCCCCTCGTCGCTACGCTTCTGCATTACGGATACCGGTACCCAAATAGAGATGGGTACCTGGACATTACGGATACCCGTACCCAAATAAAGATGGGTACCTGGACATTACGGATACCAGTACCCAATAAAGATGGGTACGTGGGCATTACGGATACCGGAACCTAAATAAAGATGGGTACCTGGACATTACGGATACCGGAACCTAAATAAAGATGGGTTCCTGGAAATTACGGATACCGGAACCTAAATAAAGATGGGTACCTGGGCATTACGGATACCAGTACCTATATAAAGAAGGGTACCTGTATATTAAGTGTACCCAAATTAAGATGGGTACCGTGTACCCGGTGAAACCGTTACCCTACCCTGATTAGTATCACTAATATACAACAAGACAACTGCTCACTATGTTGATCTCAGATAAGTTATACTTATATGTCACACTTACTCTACTCCACCTGCTCAAATAGGCACAATATAAATTTACAGATACCTTATAAAACGTTGTTAAATTGATGTTCTTTTTTCTGTAAGGGGGAATGTTACCTAGGAATTTGTATTACGTGACGAACAAATGGTTTTCACATTTGCCTACATTTCTTAACTCTGTCACTCGATATTGCCTTGTCAAGAATATATATTTTTGTGTGTGCAAAATATCATATCTGTCGTGGACTTTCATCCAATCGACCTGGCTAGGTTCTAGACTAACGTGAAACCAAACTAGACAGAAGTGACGAGGTCTATGTTGAAGTCATAGCCCCTGTGATGAAAAAAAAAACAGTTGGAAGAGTCTGGTTTTGTGTCATATACCTTAAACGTTGGAAAACTTTTGAACAAACTTTTTTATTGCAAGCTTTTGAAAATATAAAGTAGCGAGATTTCAGGGCAATTTTTTGACATCTCGTGAAGCTAGTTTTAGGGCAATTTTTTTTTCATCTAAGTAACAAGATTTCAGTGCCAAATTTTAGCATCAAGGGTAACAAGATTTCAGTGCCAAATTTTAGCATTTAGGGTAACAAGATTTCAGTGCAAATTTTTTATATCTTAGGTAACACGATTTCAGGGCAAATTTTTGACATCTAGAATAACAAGATTTCAGGGCAAATTTTGTATATCTAGAATAGCAAGATTTTAGGGCAAATTTTTTATATTTAGAATAGCAAGATTTCATGGCAAATTTTTGACATCTAGAATAACAAGATTTCAAAGCAAATTTTTGACATCTAGGGTAACAAGACTTGAGTGCAATATTTTGACCTTTAGAGTAGCAAGATTTGAATGAAAGGGTAGAAACAGAATTTAAACGAACGCTCCTAATATTTTTACATGCAACCTGATCGCCTCCTCTGGACTTGAAGAAAAAATTCTTTAAAATTATAAATTCTCCGGTTGTTGTTGATTGGTCAATCTTTGTAGTAAAATGAGATCAGCCTCTGTTTAAATTTTATTCTTGTAATCTAGTAATGGCTCTGGTAGAGTTTTACTATTTTACCAAATTGTATTCAATCACGTTCAACAAGGCCATTAATCAGTGCTCAAATTCGAACTCGTATTTTGAGAAGCGATTTCTTTCTACTTCAATACGTGCACAATTTAAATAGGCATCCGATGTACAAGTTTAGCCTAGTGGTTGTGTACATGTATGTTGTAGTCGTCGTGTACACAATATAGTCACTGTGTAAATGTAGTAGTCGTTGTGTACATCTAAAGTACCAGTCGCTGTTTACATTTGTACTGTAGTCGCGTTAGTTTTCTTATAGTATTAAAATAACGGGTTGTGTGACTATAGATGAGTGTGCTAATCTAATTTAAATTTAATTTGACATTCATATAACGATTATGAGTGATTATAAAATATGGATAAACATGCCATATATCCTAATTGTGTGTTAACCCATCATTCATGTGGGCCCCTTGTAGAGCATAGGGACTCGAACACACATCTCCATCGTACCCAGTTTTCGACGATTCTTCCAGTTAGGCCCACGACATTCCGACTGTTCCTGTTCAATAACAACTGATCATTTCCATGTTTATTTTGATCTTCCAGTCTCTGATTAAATATTTATGTTTTTGTGTTCCAATGCAACAATTTACAAAATATTTATGTTTTATGTTCCCGTACAACAATTTACAAAATATTTATGTTTTTGTGTTATCGTACAGCAACTTGCAATTCAATGAAGAATACTTAGTGGAAACCTATAACCTGACGCCCATGGAGTTTTTACATTTGACCTGCGACCTTTGCCCCCTGAACCCCAAGGCCAATGTGTCCCATTACAAGTTCCTGTTGATGTTGCCCAACTTTATCGTGCCGATGGCGTGTGTGCTGGTGTTCCACTGTCGGATCGTCAAGACGTACCACTGGCTCTTCAACAAGAGGCAGAAGCTGCAGCAGCAGTACACGGAACAGGGTGGGTTGAGGTTCGAATCTTCTGTATCACACAGGGGTGGGGAGTGGCATGGGTAAGATGTGAGGGACAGGGTGGGTTGAGGTTCGAATCTTCTGCACCAAATAGGGGTGGGGGGGAGTGGCATGGGTTAGATTTGAGGGATAGGGTGGGTTGAGGTTCGAATCTTCTGCACCACACAGGGGTGGGGGGTGGTATGGATTATATTTTAGGAACAGGGTGGGTTTAGGTTTCAATCTTCTGCACCACGTATGAGGTAATAAATTAGTTGTGTGAATAAAGAGGAGGGGACGATTGAATAATCTCTCCTGGGCAGATGAGGTACGATAACACGTATCTAGAATAGACAACTCTAAAATCAAAACAACTGATGCCTTATAGTTTGTTCTTGGTTGGACAAAAGGCTGTGGAGGCAAACCCGAAAGAAAAGCAGGCTGAAATCAAAGTCGTATGACATATATGGCATATAAAAAAATGGCACGTAATACTTAATTGTAATGGAGGGAATCTCATCCAACACTAGAATTAAGAACGAAGTAGAAATATCTCTATTAGGTAAATATTGAGTTATCCGTGAAGCCACTGTACAAACTTGCTGATTTAAAAGATTTACAACTTGGTGTTTTACAGTACTTTTAACAGACACTCATAATTCAATGTAATGTCTTTTTGTTCATCTCAGTGGAGCGGATCAGCTTCCTAAAGAAAAGCGTCAAAAATGGCTCGGTGACGTGTGAGGACATCAACAAGATGGAACACTTCGACATGTCCACGTCCAAATCCCCGCGCTTAGACCCTAAGCTCTTAAACTCCAACGAAAACATTGAGCTCAAGTCGATTCTGAGGCAGAGTAAACCCACGGGTCACTCATTAAAGAAAGCGAGATTCTCGCATATCATGGACATGGAGACTTCCAAAATTCTAATCTTCGAAGACGACACTGAAGACCCGAATCAGGACGTGAAGCATCTCTCCTTCTCCACGCTAGTCGACCCCTTCTGCATCGAAGAGCTCAGGCTGTGGATTGACAACGAAGAGAAGGCTCTGAAGCGGACGCAGACGGCTGTCGACATTCTCTCCATGGCCTTGAACCTCGGCTGCCCGTACAGGATGAAACGGAAACTCTCCGTGGACGGCGAGGTGTTAACCCCGACCCCCACGCCGTGGTGCCGGTGGCTCTTCATCAAAGTCTCCACCCTCAACATCATCTACATCTCCACCGTCCTGATGTTTCTCTTCAACACGCCCTACGTCGTGTGGTACATCTTCTCGCCCTTGTTTTTCGGGCACTCGCGAAGGGAAATCACCCAGCGCATGTCCATGCATGCCTTAATCAGCATCTGGCAGCTGGCCAGCAACGCCGTGAACTGTATCGTGTACGTGTTCCTCAACAACAAGATGCAGGAGGCGTTCAGGAGCTACCTCTCGCGGCGCTCTGTCAGCGAACACGTGGAAGACTTCGTGGAATAATTCGACGAGTTGTTTGGTTTTCTCGATTAGCCATACCCTCGCTGTCGTATATCTATTATATCGCTCGTGACAGTAGATTATAGATTAGGGTTGGGTTTGGGTTAGGGTTTGGTTAGGGTTATACGAAGCGTTGGTTTTAGTTGTTTTAATTTCCCCTTGCATTTAATTTTTTTTTTATCAGCTATACTAGAAATACAAACATGAGGGTATGGCTAATCGACTTGTGTCAGTTTTTGTTTTTTAATGGTGTGAATGAATAAAACCATGTTTTCATTTTTTTTTATTTTATCTTAGAATATTTTGGAGCTTGTACAAAATCAATGTATGCACGAGTTAGAAAGACAATTACTACATGAACATATTCACTATTATCATATTCGGTCGGACGAAATAGTATTTTCCATATCAGTTAATTATCTGAACTAACTGCAAAACGAATCGTTACATTACCCGTTAGAGCGTGTAAAAAAAGAACATAGTCCCAAATCTGATTTGAGTGTTTTAGCATACAGAGGACAAACATTACTGGCAACACAAACATTACTGGCAACACAAACATTACTGGCAACACAAACATTACTGGCAACACAAACATTACTGGCAACACAAACATTACTGGCAACACAAACATTACTGGCAACACAAACATTACTGGCAACACAAACATTACTGGCAACACAAACATTACTGGCAACACAAACATTACTGGCAACACAAACATTACTGGCAACACAAACATTACTGGCAACACAAACATTACTGGCAACACAAACATTACTGGCAACACAAACATTACTGGCAACAATCTGCTTAGCGAGACGGTCACAGGAATATTTATTGTCTCCCGTGTAAATTAATGCAGTCTAGACGTTAATGGGGACATTAATGTTAATACGTATGAATATAGACTGGGAACTTCGACTAGGAAATTCGTGGTGGGATATTCATGGTGGGATACTCATGGTGGGATATTCATGGTGGGATATTCATGGTTAGAAACTATTCATGGCTTAAAACTAGTATAGACCTAACCTAATACTAACCTTGGAGATCTGGACAAAACTGAGGCAATCACACACGTTTTCATACGCCGTATATACCCTTTCATAAACTGGTACAAACCGGACTATTACAACTCACTGCACGAGAACTGAACAAGGACGAACGGGATAGGGTACCTAGTAACAACAACATTCACCCCCATTCATCCCCCTTCACTCGTTCGCTACAATATATATTCGGCTGGTATATTTTCGTGGAATATTCGGAAAATATATTCAGCTGTGGTGTTTGGCTGAAATATTCAACTAACTATTCTGATGGGATATTTACCGGGAAAATTCGGTACATCCGTCTGATGTATTAAGCTTGACCATTCGACAGGATCTCCACCATTTATTTTAGAGAAACAGGGACTGAGGCGTGAAATTAACGAAAAGAAAAATTTGTTTATGAAAATATACCAACGATTCCTCATTGTTAAAGCCCACTTTACCCACTCTTGATTCCCATGTCGGTTGAAAATGTTTAGCTACTGCTCTAGGTATGTTACCACCTAATTTTATAGTATTTTTAAAACTTTTATAAAATCTTAATTTAATAGCTAAATACATTTAGTTTCTAGAAAGTCTCAATTTTACTCTCACGGGATTAAGTCAGTCGGTTATCTCTGATTTTTAAGGGACGGAGTGGCCTAGCGGTAGAGAGCTGGTCCGCTAACCCATAAGACTCGAGTTCAAATCCGGGTTTAAAGCAGTAGACCGTCCCTGAGTCCACCCAGCTTTGATGTGTACCTAACTCACGTTAGGGTAAGTAAAGGCTGGGCATAGTGCTGACCATACTATACCTTCATATGCTGAGGTCACAGAAACAAGTAAACTCTACTTCACTTGCCCCATAAACCGTATGGTTTAAAAGGGAACTTTACTTTGTCTCTGATTTTACCCAGCCCAGATGGATACCGGGCAGGAATCGGGGAAAGTAAATGCGGCTGAGCAGAGTGCTGAGCACTTTGTGCCTTCATATGTCGATTCCAATAAACAGGAGAATTCTGCTTTATCTATATTATCGCAGATCACATGCTACTAAGAGTTATGTGATCCATAGTTACGTTAGTAGGAAAGGACATCTATTCCCCCAGTCAAAATGTCTAAAATAACACCTAGAATAACTCTAAAATAACACCTAAAATACCTCTATCTGTTCACGCATACAGACTGAGACGACAGACAGACAGGCGGAAATACAGATAGATGGAGATATGAAGACAGACAGAAGTTGTTGACGACTTAAAGTACGTGCGTATGTTCTTTTGGAAAACTTGATACGGTTCAAGATAGCTTGAGTTTCTTTCGTGTGTTGGCTACGTCATGCTTGCTCCTGCACCTACATGTGATGTGGCTGCTCGTATATCAGATGGTGATGTTGACACTGCTCGTGTATTAGATGGTGTTGCTGTAGCTACTACACCAACATGTGATGTTGCTGCTCGTATATCAGATGGTGATGTTGGTGTTGTTCTTTTACCAGATGGTCTTGCTGTAGCTACTACACCATCATGTGATGTTGGCGCTACTCATATCAGATGGTGATGTTGACGCTGCTGTTATACCAGATGGTGTTGCTGTAGCTACTACACCAACATGTGATGTTGCTGCTCGTATATAAGATGGTGTTGTTGTAGATACTACACCAACATGTGATGTTGGCGCTCGTATATTAGATGGTGATGATGTTGCTGCTCGTACATCAGAAGGCAACGTTGTAGCTTCTACACCAAAACCATCTTGCCGTAGAAAAAAGAAAGAGCGGGCAACAATTTAGATTTTATAAAACAACAAATGAAACCACAGAGTCAAGGAATGATTGTAGCATACACAAAAAAAAAATAATTAAAAATCAATCATTTGATGGTGCTTTTATAATAACGGTCATAACTTAAATCCTTACTTTAGTATTACCTAACTTTAATTAGTACACAAAAACGGATTAGGCAGTAAAAAAACAGCCCGATTCTATACGAATTTTCAACATTTTATTTTTGTAAAACAGATAAATAAAAATGTCAAAGCGCTTTGTTTAGATGTAGATTTTTATTTCAATGTAAATTCTAAACCAAAAGCGATATAGGACAGCTTAAAAAAATTTAAATTACAATTTAATTTATCTTTATTTTATTTTTAATTTAATTTTTTTTAATTAAAAAAAATGTTTGTTGTAAATGGAAAAATTTAAACTTCTTTGTGTTTCATTTAGATCAGGGGTCTCCAAACTACGGCCCGCGGGCCAGATGCGGCCCGCGAAGTCCTCTCATCCGGCCCGCGGAGATCTTTTTGTCCAAGGAAAAATCGTTTGTTGATGATGGCTGAGGAAGTTTGCCCAGAAAAATCAAATACATACCTGGAAGAAACTGGCCCCCGAACTGAAAATTGACGGGTAATGCGGCCCTCGGACTGAAAAGTTTGGAGACCCCTGATTTAGATAAATAGAATCTAAAGTAAAAGAGATTGGTAACTCAAAATATTTTTTTAAACTAATTTTAACTTCACTTTTTAAATAACTGTATTTACTTGATTTATTTTTATTTTAAACATTCCGTGTTATTCTTATTGTTTTCGACATTTAATATTATTACATTTTTTGTTATGTTTCCTCTTACCGAAACTTCAAAGGTATCAACTTTTGTTTTTCGTTTTTATTTCTGAGCTATTTTTTCACATGCTGTATGTTGATACCGGATATTGTTGATGCCGACAGCGAAAGAACCGACGCCGTACAACAGCTGTCACTGGCCTTAACATGAGACGCGTTTTCATTATGCTCCATTACAAGTTGGGGCGGGGAGAGGAGGGGGATTCTTTTTTTTTCCAGCAATTACTGCATAAGTTGTTTAATTAAATTTTTTATTTTATTTTTTTTATTTTTGACTTTTCATCATCCTTTGATAAAGATGTGCATAAAAACATGCTGCTGTTATCAATGGAAAGTGATAGAAGTGTGCAGCTGTCAGTTTTGTTGTTGTTTTTTTTGTTTTTTTTTGTTCTAAAAACTGGAGGAACAAAACAGGTTCGCACGGAGAAAGGATTTTTTTTCACTTGGGTCAGGGTTGTTGTTATCTGGTGTAAAGATTAGCAGTGTTTCTTCCAGACATTTTTCTCCGGGGGCAGGGGGGGGGGGGACGACTTGAAATTTTTTTTGGGGGGGGGGGGTGGGACTTGAAATTTTGGGGGGGGGGGGGGGGCGGACTCTGTAAAAAGTGTATATTTTCTATATAAATTCCATTTCGGGTGGGGGGCGAAGTGATGCCTGGAAGAAATTCTGACGATTAGGCCGGCGTCTTTACGTGTGCTTGTTTTGTCCAGGGTTTCATTCAGACTGGTTTCTCCGGGTGGGGTGGGCAGTTAAAACTTTCAACTGGGGGGGGGGGGCACTTAAACGTTCTGGGATATTGGAGGCTAACGTATATAAATTGTATTTATAAATTGTATTTTTTTTCATTTCGTTCGTGGTGAAAGGGGGGGGGGGGGAGGAGGTTGAATGTGACCCCTTCCTCTCCCGAAAAGATGCCTGAAAGAAACTCTGGGTTTATGTAACACCGACTGTGCCTGCCGATAAGAAATCATACACTAGTACTCACACATAGAAAGGGAATATTCTTTACCAGTATAAAGCTGTATGATATTTTCCTTTAACTGACCACCACTTCAAAATTATATAAAATTCCTATCTTTGACACCTCCCCCCCCCACCCCCCGCACACACAAAACAACGCAAATACAAATAGTTTTTTAACATAAAACTTATAATTGTAAGATAATTTCTGGGAATCATATTCAAAAAATAGCTTGTCACATAGGCTAAAAGTTCCTTATGTACTGTAGTGAAATATCCTAATATTGTGTTAGAAGCCAGTCGCGTCGACGTGTGAGAAAATTAATAAAATCTTAGGGACACTGTTCGATATGACTCCCCTGACCCCCTAACCCCAGGGTATGACAAAATAACAAGGCGCCCCCCCACCACATTTTATTGTGTCATATGTGGACAATCTCAACCTATAATTCTTGCATGAGTTCCCATACCTGAGGGAGGGGGGGGGGGGGGGGGGTGGGGTGGGGGTAGAGAGAGTTGTTTGAAACAAGTCGCGACTCTTGCCACATCCCCAATCGTTACACCTCGTTGGAAAGTGGGTGGGTTGGTGGGTAGGTGGGTGCGTGGGTAGATGTGTGGATGGGTAGTTAGGTAGGTGGTTGGGTGTTTGTGTATATGATATAGATTATGCACATTTCCATTTTGCTAGCTTAGTTACAAAACTCGAACTTTCAAACTGGTTTGGCGTAAGGTTAGTTCATTAAGCCAATTGAGCCCTACATTAAAAAGTGCGTTTTCATTCAAGCCCAACGCACTAATTAAGGCTGTCGCAAGAGATGTAACATATTTCAATGAAATTTCATTTTTCTTTTTGCGCTTTTTTCTGTGTGCGCTTTTTTCTGTGTGCACTTTTTTCTGTTTGCGCTTTTTTCTTTTTGCGCTTTTTTTCTGTGTGCGCTTTTTTTCGTTTGCGCTTTTTTTCTGTTTCTCTTTTTTCCGTTGCGCATCTTTCTGGGAACCCACATACTTATATGGGTATGCCTTTTAAATTAATTGAACATAATACCATTCTTTGAACATACCCCCCCCCCCCCCCACACACACACACTTACTCCAACGTAAGTGCACCCACACCTTACGTTCATTTACATTGGATGAAGGTGAGATTGGGGCGCAAAAATGTATATATTTCCAGGTAGAGGTCGCACTGTTTGTCATCTCACAACGTATATTTTAAAAGGTCATAAGTGGCTGGGGGGGGGGGGGGGCTTCTATAAATAACGTCATACACCGGGTGGAAGATATAAAGTGGGTGTGTCAAGGGAGGGGGAGATAATGCAAAACATTTATTTTCCTAATTATGGCTTCTTTTGTTAAACTAATTACTCAGATGTGTGTAGCTAAATGAGATATTGAGTTTTTAATCAAGCAATCTCCATTAATAGCAGTTTGAACTCCCCACTCCGAACCACTTTATTTTTGTTAGTGTAGAATTAATAACAAGACATCTAATTAATATTACTGCAGGTATCTGGATACTTAATATAAATGACAATGGGGGGGGGGAGGCGCCAAACTGCTAATTATTTATGTTTTTATTTAGGAGGTGTTTTAAGCCTTTCGCCCTTAACTGAACTTACCCCCTCAACCCCAACTAACTCTACACAACCAACTGCACCTAATCCCCTACCAAATGCACCTAATCCCCTACCAAATGCACCTAATCCCCTACCAAATGCACCTAATCCCCTACCAAATGCACCTAATCCCCAACCAACTGCACCTAATCCCCTACCAAATGCACCTAATCCCCTACCAAATGCACCTAATCCCCAACCAACTGCACCTAATTCCCTACATAACCATCTAACCTTTATTTAGCTACTATACACAGAAAAAAAAACGGACTTCAATATGCCAACTTTATTAAAATATTCTATTCATCTTTCTGTTTACATAATGCCAACTTAAATTTACAAAAGAAATAATTAAAAACCATTGTCGTAAGCTAATCAATAATTAATTCAATTGACCTGGTGGGTAACAGCGTGTCAGTTATTAGGAATTGTGTTGGACATCGGTGATCGCTCTCTTTACAGTTCACTGGGTATGGTTTAGCGACTTTTATTTAAAACACCGTAAGAATCATACAATTAGACTTTTATTAAAAACACCGTAAGAATCATACAATTAGACTTTTATTTAAAACACCGTAAGAATCATACAATTAGACTTTTATTAAAAACACCGTAAGAATCATACAATTAGACTTTTATTTAAAACACCGTAAGAATCATACAATTAGACTTTTATTAAAAACACCGTAAGAATCATACAATTAGACTTTTATTTAAAACACCGTAAGAATCATACAATTAGACTTTTATTTAAAACACCGTAAGAATCATACAATTAGATTTTTATTTAAAACACCGTAAGAATCATACAATTAGCTCGGATTAAGGTCAGGGCCTGGATTACAGATTATCGATGCAAAAATAGAGTGGTATATTTCTTGCTGACGTATTTTTGGTAACGATTTACCTAAGGTACTTCCGCATCTCATTATAGATGAGGTACCTCCCTTAGTTGGGGTACCTCCCACCATAGATGAGGTACCTCACCCCCTTAGCTGAAGTACCTTCCACCATAGATGAGATACCTCACCCCCTTAGCTGGGGTACCTCCCACAATAGATGAGGTACCTCACTCCCTTAGCTGGAGTACCTCTCACAATAGATGAGGAACCTCAATCCCTTAGCTGGAGTACCTTCCACCATAGATGAGGTACCTCACTCCCTTAGCTGGGGTACCTTCCACCATAGATGAGGTACTTCACTCCCTTAGCTGGAGTACCCCCCCCCCCTCATAACAACACACTATTCCTGTCACAACACCGTTCCCCCATACCCCACCCCAGCTCCAAGTAGAACCAATAACATTTTTTTCTACTCACTTTAGGCTTTAAACAAACACGCTCGCCTCCCCTGCTGTGTATATGGACGCCATCTGCTACCAAATTATATGAAAACATCTATGGAAAATACAATTAAATGAAAACATTATTAAATATTAGTTATATCTTATTAATGAAACATTTTGGTATAGATTTATTGAATATGGAAAAAGGGATTGGTCCTTTGAGAAAGAAAGAAACATGGCTGTTGCACGATACCTTTTTTATATCGGAATCGACTACATCACTTTTTGTTCATAATGTTAAAAAACTGGCTTTCCTGGTTACTTAAAATGTCGATACTTTCAAAAGCACGGACAGTTTTTGTCAGAATTATTTATTTTTTTATTATTTTCGCCTTACCTTAATCTTGTTCATTATACTAGTCCAAGCCTTTGCCCTAACCCTAATTTAATACTTCTCAGTTGCCTTAAAGCAAATCGATAGCATGGGAAAATATAACTCGATACGATACTGAATAGCCCAAAGGCGTTTACTCCTGCAAGAGAATATGAGTGACGGCACATGACCTTTTGAACTCTGCACTCAAATATTAAAATTGCTGCACCAGATTTTACAGACTTTTCAAACTTGAAGATTATTTAGTTTTTGTGAAATAGCAATTTCATTTTCCATTATTATTTCCATTTCAAACTCAAGAAGATTATAGTTCACGATCATTGTAAGAAAAAAAGAGCAACGATTACATTTTCCGATCATTTTCCAATTTTAAAAATTTCACCACAAAATTTTTATAATTTTCCGCACCAACTTAAAAAAATATTGAACGCAACTCTGATTTCGTTTTCAAATGTAAACATGGCGACTTTTAGCGTTACCATTTTTATGGTACTGTGTTTTCATGCGGCTAGAGCGCATTGTAAGAATTACAGTACTTAATTAGAGTATTTAATCAGAGTTTTAATTACGGTATTTAATTAGAGTATTCGAGTGCTGCTTATTCGATGTATACTGTAACGTGCCTGTGTATTATAGATCTAAGTGGCTTAGCATTTCTCTTTCGTGTGCAATAGCCTAGGTGTAATATTGCCAAATGTTATTTTAGGGGTCGTTTTAGCGTTATAATATAATTTAATTCGGTCAATACATGTTCAGGATGGGATGGTGTGGCATAGCGGTAGAGCGCTAGACTGCTAACTCGAAAGTCTCGAGTTCGAATCGTGGTTCAAGTCAGTAAAGGTCCCTAATTGGTACCTAACTAACGTTGGGAAAAGTAAAGGCCCAGACATAGTGCTGACCACATTATCTCTTCATCAGTGGCGTAGCCAGGATCGTCTCAAGGGGGGTTCCAATTTTTACCCGTGGACAAACTTTCGATTTGCATCCCCCCTTCATACTTTTTATTTATATACCGAGGGGTCTATGGGGGGTTATGACCCCCCCCCCCCCCTAACCCCCCCCCTGTCTACGACACTGCTCTTCATATGCCGAGGTTATATGAACTCGACTATATCTAAAGAGCTATCTTTATACATATGAAGCACTTTGTAAAGTCGTAGCCTTGCTGACGCTGCAGCATTTGTTTAGAGAAGTAGCAATGTGGACAGCTGTAGCATTGTCGATAGCTGCAGCAATGCCTTGCTAGTTATGTAGCATTGCCTTACTAGTTATGTAGCATTGCCTTACTAGTTATGTAGCATTGCCTTACTAGTTATGTAGTATTGCCTTGCTAGTTATGTAGCACTGCCTTGGTAGTTATATAGCACTGACTTGCTAGTTATGTAGCATTGCCTTGTTAGGTATGTAGCACTGCCTTGGTAGTTATATAGCACTGCCTTACTAGTTATGTAGCATTGTCTTAAGCGCTATGGTGAAGCGTTAACTGTAGTTTTCTCTAGTCGTACAACATCCCCTTATGTTGTAGCCTTATCTTGTAAAGTAGCGTCGCCTAACAAAGCTGTTCACCTTGTGAACAAAACAGTTTGCTGTTGATTGAGACTCTCCACTCATTGCATACAGTCTGTATAGTTGCATTAAGTATAGCATGAAAGGGAACCTGAGTTCATTATTGTGGAAGTGGGGAGGTGGTATTTCAATAATCAACAGCTGCAACAAAGGTATTTCACCCTTTGAACTAAATATTTTGATGTATTATATAATCGATACTGCAAACACTTTAATTTGATATATTTGGACCACACACGTAGTAGTTATCAGCGATACTAAGGATTCGATTACTCAAAGTTTATGTACATGTGCGTGTATGCATGAACGTGTGTGAAAGAATGCAAGTGTGTGTTGTTGTTTTTTTTGTACAATGTACGTGTATGAATATGTGGTTGTGCGCGTATATGTATGTATTTGAATGTGTGAGTGATGTGTGTGAATATGTGACTATGTGCTATGTGTTGTATTTGTATGTTTCAGTGTTGTGTGAATATGTTACTGTATGCTATGTGTGTGTGTCTGTATGTATGTTATGTGTGACAGTGTGACTGTGTGTTATGTTTGTGTGTCTGTATGTTTGTTGTCATGTGTGAATGTGTGACTGTGTGTTATATGTGTGTATATGTATGTATTTGATGTAAATGTGTGTGAATATTATGACTATACGCTCTTAAGTGTGTGTATCCTTATGTGTATTATGCAAGTCTGTGTATGTATACACACCTCAGATCCAGCTACTTACAGAGAACACGATCATACATGATCCGGTTCATTAACTTCGCGGATCAAAAGAAATTCTAAGCTCGGTTAAGCTCGGCTAAATCTGCAAACCTAATCTCTAGCTTGCGTTGTTTACTTCTCTCTCCTTGTTTCCCCACTGAATCTCATTGTGCAATGTTTTTGATCCGTTTTACGGTCATCAATAGTCGTTAAACATCCGACGTTTGTTTAACTCATGCAAGAATGACGTTGCGCATGCGTCAAATAAAGAGGAGCAGACGTGTAGAGGAGTGCAGGCAGACGTCACAGTTTTTTGAAAAAACAATATTTTGATATTTTATTCACATTTTTTTAAAAAAAATGACGTTTGTCGAATGAATTGTGTGTTTTGAGCTTTATGCGAAAATTTATCCTTATCAAATTGCTGAGAGTGATAAGAAATTTATTATGTTAAAGTTTGTGACGATAGCTGCTTATTATATTACAGTTTAGCACAAGACGGTGCCTATTATATTTATAGTTTGTGAAGAAATTTCACCGTCATATTAGAATTTATATCATCCCTATTCAATTGCCGTCTGTGAAAATAGTTCCATATTTTATTGCAGATAATTAGAAAATGCTGCTATTCCATTAGAGTTTGTGGCAAAAATTCCATATCATATTCTCTTACAGTCTGTGACGAAGGGTTCTACGGCCACAAGTGTGAACACAAGTGCGGAAACTGTGTGGGGGGCCCCATCTTCTGTGACGCCGCCCAGGGTTTCTGCGTGAACGGCTGTACCTGGGGCTACCAGGGGGACACCTGCAAGGAGAGTAAGTTTTACCTGACCTACCCGCAGGTGTTGGGGTAACCTAGGTATACAAGCATACCTGGAGTTCAAAACACCTGGTCGTCAAAACATGAATTTGTGGTCGTTACAAAATTTATTTTATTTCCTATAAACGACATTCGTTTTAGATTAAGTATTCCACCAATGGTAACTTACGCCTAATGGGAGGGGGGGGGGGGGTAATTGAGAATTATTCATGGACTATTTATATCTTAAGTCTGGTCAGCCCTCATCCCAATCCGCCACCCGTTCTAACCTTAGTTTTCCCAATGCGTCAACTCAAGGCATGTTGCTATCCCCAGAGTGTAACGCCGGTACCTATGGAATCTCCTGCACAGGGGTGTGCTCACCCCACTGTAACGACACCACTTGCCATCACGTGACCGGGGAGTGCTGGGACAAGGGGTGCCACCCCGGGTACACGGGGCCCAAGTGTACTGAGAGTGAGTAAGAGTCACTGACGCACAATTTTGATGAACCCGCCTTTACGTCTAATCGACAACAAAAGCTTCGCAATGACACCCGACGCCGCAGACTGAAACTGCACACTGACTCTCAATTGACTCTTAAATCATTGACCATCCACGACCTGTGACGCCCGACTCTGTCACTGCAATTTTCTTATGACGCGCAACCTCACTGACTCTTAACTTTATTGATCGTATCCTACTGCTGACGCACGTCTTTCTCCATTACTCAATAGCCGCTTTATGATAAGCTGTCAATGACTCCCAACTTTACTGACTCTCAATGACTCTCAATGACTCCTTACTTTGCTGACTCTTAATGACTCCCAGCTTTACTGACTCTTAATGACACCCAACTTTAACGATCCTCAATAACTCCCAACTCCTGACTCTCAACTTTACTGACTCTCAATGACTCCCAACTTTACTTACTCTCAATCACTCCCAACTGCTGACTCAACTTTACTGACTCTCAATGACTCCCAACCAGTGGCGTGCACTAAATTTCCCTACCAGCTAGAGGGTGGAGGGACTAGAGGAGCGCTGTGAAGAAATTATTTTTTTTTACGAAAAGACGTACCCAGTCGACATGGGATCCGAACCCGCAACCAACTCAATCACGACTCCTAGGGGACTAGTTAAGTCCCCCGAAGTGCACGACAGCACGCCAGTAGTAAAAAAAAACCCTGATTAAGACCACAAGATCCACCTACTTCTAAACAACACTTAGTTCCCTGATATCTCCATGCGTGTCACCTGTAAACTGTCACCTGTAAACCACCTGTAGACAACCTCCATGTGTCCTCAGCGTGCCCCAAGCACACGTACGGCGACAACTGCACCCTGAAGTGCAACTGCACGCATGACTGCGGCTGTGACACCGTCCACGGGCTGTGTGTCACCATCGACCAGTGTCGGGAGATGAAGTGGAAGGCCGAGCAGGATCTGAAGGCGGAAGGTACCTGGTTCCTCTCTCTCTCTCTCTCTCTCTCTCACTGACCCAGTGGCGTACGCAGAAGGGGTGCTGCGGGGGGGGGTGTAATAACCCCAAAGGACCCTTACCTGACTAACATCCATTTGGCGAGTGTGCGCGAGTGTTTCCTTTTGAAATATTTTAAATATCTTATCATTCTTAAACTTGTTATGAAACTAACACACGCACACATGAATATATATATATATATATATATATATATATATATATATATATATATATATATATATATATATATATATATATATATTTATATATATATATATATATATATATATATATATATATATATATATATATATATATATATATATATATATATATATATATATATATCAGCTAGCATTATGTTCGTCTTATTTCATGTGAGTCAGCCAAACGACGCTACGAGCGACAGGCGGGGACTGAGCCAGCATCAGGCAACACCAAACGTGAGTACTTCTGTCCATCCACCGCTGTCAACACTGCCGAGATCGTCAACACTACTAACAGTACCAACACTACCATCCTTGCCAGCATTGCCTTGTTTTATTGACATCTTCTCACTCCATTGTCCAAATTTTTTAGTTCTTTTATTTTTATATCCGTACGGTTTGCGGTTGTGTTTTGTTTTGTAGTTGTTTTTTTTTTTTTTTTTTTTTTCCATGCCATGATTTTTGTGTTTTTTTTTTACTGTTTAAATATCCTAATGATTTTAATGTATTAATATTTTTAGTTCATTTTTTTTTAATTTAAATTTATTTGGTACTGTATAAATTTGTTAAAAAATTAATTGAAACATATTAGGCAAATGGGATAAATTTTTTTATTTCATTCTGTCTCAAGGGGGTACTCAGATGATGTGTTCGGTGATGGAGAAAGAGTTTCAAGAACTCATGCTTAAACGTGAGTGGTGACCTACATGCAGTCTGTGCACTTAGTTAAATAACCTTTAGCGAGACTACGCACTTAGTTAAATATCCTTTTTAGGTAGCCTGGGCCCCTAGTTTGGTTAACCTTTAGGTAGCCTTCACCCCTAGATTGAGTAACCTTCAGGGGCCCCGTCCCTGGTTAGGAGCGTGCGCCCTGGTTAACCTTTAGGGAGCCTGCGCCCTTGGGTAGGTAACATTCAGCGAGCCTGGTTAGGTAACTTTTAGGGAGCCTGCGCCCTTGGGTAGGTAACATTCCGCGAACCTGGTTAGTTAACCTTTAGGGAGCTTGCGCCCCTGGATTTAGAGCTGGATGAAAAGTCGAAGTTTCAGAATCTTGATACACCGCCTGTCATTCTTCTTGGTAGAATCAATGTCTTGAAAGTCTTGAAGGAAAAAAATTGCCATCTTCAATGAACCGAACCAACCTGTTAGTATAAACTACATTGTGTTAAGGATTAGCTTAGGATTCTTGCATTGTCTTCGGCGATACACGCCTTATAGAACACCTGTGTAAAACAAATCGATTGGTATCCAACATTCTAATATTCATTCACCTTTAAGCCGTGACTATTAAGCTTAGTAAAAGTGGAGTTACGTTTTTGAATCTGATGGTGAATGGGGGGGGGGGGGGGTAGATAAAGTAGAGTTCACCTGTGCCTGTGGTCGCGGCCTGTGACGGGTTACCTTGTCGCTTTCACTTTCGCAAACATATCACGTGCACGTTAGAACTGGTTAGACTTAATTTAAGGATGTCCTGTAGACTCAAGCCCCGGGTACCGAACTCGAGACTTTCTGGTTGACAGTCGCAGGCTCCACCACCCAACCACGCCGTTCCATTGGCTTAGTAATGCCAAGAAAAGAAATCTACCTCTCTGTGTTACAGTACATGAGGCCATCTTTATGGTAGTGAAAGTGGTCGTTGTTGTGGTCTGTATTTCAGTGACCAACAAGGTGGACATCCCCCAAATGCCGCTGTTTATCGTCCTCAGTGTTACCATGATCATCATGTTCATCTTGGGTATATGGTAGGTCCAGTTATCCTCAGTGTTACGATGATCATCATGTTCATCCTGGGCATCTGGTAGGTCCAGTTATCCTCAGTGTTACAATGATCATCATGTTCATCTTGGGTATATGGTAGGTCCAGTTATCCTCAGTGTTACCATGATCATCATGTTCATCCTGATCATCTGGTAGGTCCAGTTATCCTCAGTGTTACCATGATCATCATGTTCATCCTAGGCATCTGGTAGGTCCAGTTATCCTCAGTGTTACCATGATCATCATGTTCATCCTTGGTATCTGGTAGGTCCAGTTATCCTCAGTGTTACCATGATCATCATGTTCATCTTGAGCATATGGTAGGTCCAGTTATCCTCAGTGTTACCATGATCATCATGTTCATCCTTGGTATCTGGTAGGTCCAGTTATCCTCAGTGTTACCATGATCATCATGTTCATCCTGAGCATATGGTAGGTCCAGTTATCCTCAGTGTTACCATGATCATCATGTTCATCCTTGGTATCTGGTAGGTCCAGTTATCCTCAGTGTTACGATGATCATCATGTTCATCCTAGGCATCTGGTAGGTCCAGTTATCCTCAGTGTTACCATGATCATCATGTTCATCCTGATCATCTGGTAGGTCCAGTTATCCTCAGTGTTACCATGATCATCATGTTCATCCTGATCATCTGGTAGGTCCAGTTATCCTCAGTGTTACCATGATCATCATGTTCATCCTGATCATCTGGTAGGTCCAGTTATCCTCAGTGTTACCATGATCATCATGTTCATCCTAGGCATCTGGTAGGTCCAGTTATCCTCAGTTACCATGATCATCATGTTCAACCTTGGTATCTGGTAGGTCCAGTTATCCTCAGTTACCATGGTCATCATGTTCATCCTTGGCATATGGTAGGTCCAGTTATCCTCAGTTACCATGATCATCATGTTCATCCTGAGCATATGGTAGGTCCAGTTATCCTCAGTGTTACGATGATCATCATGTTCATCTTGGGTATCTGGTAGGTCCAGAGATTAGTGAGTTGACATTGCAAGGGGTCGAGGTTAGGGTTAGGGGTTAGAGTTGTGTGTGTGGGGGGGGGGTTGTCTTAAGGCGATGGGGTTGGTTTTCTAGTTAATGTTGGTCTAGAGATAAGGTTGGAGTATAATTTATCTTGGTCTAGTGTTAAGGCTGGTTTGAAGTTAAAGTTGGCTATGAAATAATGTTGGCCAAATGTTAAGGTTGGCCATGAATTAAAGTTGTCCAAAAGTTATGGTTTGCCATGAATTAAAGTTGTCCAAAAGTTATCGTTAACTATGAATTAAAGTTGTCCAAAAGTTATCGTTGGCTATGAATTAATGTTGGCCAAAAGTTATTGCTAGCCATGAATTAAAGTTGCCCAAAAGTTAAGATTTGACTAAAGTTAAGGTTGGTTTAAAGTTATGGATTAAACCGAGTTAAGAGTTAAATGGCGGTTAGTATTAATTTGGGTTAGTGTTTTCTCTAATCTAAATCTAACTCATGAATTGTATTCATTTGTATTCATCTGGGGGGGGGGGTGTATGTGCAAGCTGTGTAAAAAAAAAAAGATGCTGGCGTTTAGAGCAACATGATAAATACAATTATACGTGTCCGACAATGGTATGACAAAGACGACCTTGCATTAAAGCCGGTTAGTCTGGGGCATTAGCATAACGTAATCGACCTCGTCCCGACCGTAGGCGTAATGGATTTCTGCACAACCAAATCCAATTCAGCCTCGTTCTCGTTGGGCTTATGACGTCACTGGATCTCCTACTTCCTGATTTGTTTTTTTTTTTTTTTTTTTTAAATAATCGATTCCACGTTTCGTACTTGTTTATTATTTATCTATGCCGTAAACTGAAGCATATGATGGGGAATTAAGCGCAAATGAGAACGCTGCAATCGTGTTTAATGACCGCCATTGAAGCAGAACTTAGGCTATAAATAATAGCGTAGACTGACATTTCCGCCTGCGTTGTAAAGGGTGCTCTTAGAGTATAAAAAAACATGATTCAATGCCTATTATATTGAACTATTTTCTGGGCAACGCCCATGGTTTCTGTGACGCGGACAGGCGCATATTTGCGCATGTCAAAAAGAACGTTTTGAAATCTTAGGCGAGATTTGACGAAGAGTCGGCCATGGTTTTAAACATTGCATTAAAAACGTTTGGTTTTTTTTTTGTTACTGAAAAATTACAACATAGACAACATGAATTATTTATCTAATTAATAAATAGAAATTGATTTTTTAGAATCATCATTTAATTTTTTTTATAGACTCGCAATCACTTTTTAAAAACACAACTTGCCTTCCTTATTCACAATTTGTATCCCTTATTATTCACAATCACCTCAATTGTTTAAAGTTTGTTTCCCTTATTCAAAACTCATTATCTCCCTTATTCACAATTACCTCCCTTAATCACATTTACCTCCCTTAAACAACAGCTTCTCCTGATAACAGGAAACACCTAACATGAAGACGTTATCTGCTAAGGAAGAATTTCATAACTTGCATTCGACACACACACACACACACACTCACACACACACACACACACACACGCACGCGCGCGCACGCATACACACACACATACACTCACACACACGCACACACACCGCGCGCGGTAAGAAAGCGTTACATCAAATTTTTCTTTATGAAATGTGATTGTCCAAAGCCTTCAGTTAATGTTTAGACCTGTGTATTGAAAATAGATTGGACAAAAAAATTAAAATTATTAATAACAAGTTGCTCTTCATTTGTATCCCTTTACTAAAGGTAAAAAAAATCAATTTATATTGTATATTTTCTTTTTGAAGCAATCGAAATCTACGATTGTGTGTAAGTGGGGTGGGGGCCTAAGGTATTGTAAAAGCGTTTATCATATCTTCAGAAAATGTGTTTAGTTTACTATGTTAAACACATATAAAGGCTTGTCATTATTTTTTAAAAATCATTTTAAACCGTTTCAAGCATACACTCACGCTTTAAAGAATCCTCTTTAGACCTAGCTATCCACTGGGCAGATGAGGTAAAGTTCATGTTTCTTGAAAAAAGGGGTGGTCAGCATTTTGCCCATTCATGGGTAAGGTCCTCTTCAGAGCTAGGTGAACTCAAGGCTGTTCATCTGACTTGAACTCGGATTGGAACTGGCGATTTTCGTTTAACAGGCTAGTGCTAATATGTGAATAATAAACAATTGATCTACTAAACAATACAAGTTTCAAGATAACATCAATCGGAACTGATATAGGGTCAGCGTGGTCGAGTCGGTATAGCTCGTTGTAAAAGCCTCGAGTTCGAACCCTCTGGCAGATGAGGCTCGTTAGCAGGGGACAGCCACTCTTCTCCAACTCCAAAATCAAACAACTGCTGCCTTGTAGTTTGTTCTTGGTTGGACAAAGGCTATGGAAGCAAATCTAAAAAGAAAAGCAGGCTGAAATCGCAGTCAATGGCCTCAAGGTGCATAACCAGTTGACACGTATACTTAATTGTGTTGGGGGGGGGGGATCCCTTCCAATACTAAAATTAAGAACGAAGAAGTAGAAAGAGCTTATATTTTTTTTATTGTTTAACCACAGCGATTTTCTCGTGCAACGGTCCAAGGATAACTACAGAGCCAACTGGGAGAGGGAGCATCTGGACAAGGCCCTGGAACTCGCCGAAAACAGGGGAACTTCCGAGAAGCAGGAGGATCAACAACCGTCGGAAACTAACGCATCTAGTGCACAAGATCAACAAGCGTCGTAATGATTCGTTTTACGACGTTGTTTTTTTTTTAGTTTATTTACCACTTCACTCATTGATTCCATCCGAATGACGTATTTAATATATGGTGTTGACGTCAGTTTATCAAATGTATAGTTTTTCGCTGTTTTGAAATCGGTTCATTTTCAATTTTTTTTTTGTAAAATTTGATTAAACAGAGCTTTTGGCCTTTAAGTAATACATTATTTTTTTTAAACTAGTATTTGATCACATTTTGTGTGCAACTGTGTATGCAGCAGGGTAAAAAAAATATTAAAAAAAACTTCGCTGTGAACGGTGCCTTTTAAGCCATGAGGAGGAAGCATGAATGAAGAAAAATAGGGTTAATGTTTTGAAACACCTCGGATGCCAGGAGTTCATCCAAACCATAATAAATTTAGCTTTCGTTTATAACCCCTAATAATAACCATGGACTTATCTGCAAGAAGAAGAGCTGTTTCATTGTTTAACTTATTTTTAAACAAAAAATACATAAATTAGGCTGTTATATGATCTCAAAACAAATACGTTTCGGCCATTTCTGAAACTTTAGAATAATATAGCAGTCAAGTAATTTTAAAAGGAAAGGCTTTGATTCAATTTTTTTTCTCACAGAATAGCGTAATTTGGAAAAATATGGATGGGCAAGTTTCGTGTGGATTTAATTAAAATTTGCACGGAGCCTGGGTTCTTTGGGGGGTGGGAGGGAGGGGTGAAAGTCGTTTATTTTACCTCCACACCGCCCTGAGTTAGAGTTCCCTCGACACCGCTATGTGTTAGCCTTACTGCAAACCACCGCCCAGTATTAGCGTTACCTCGACACCGTTATGTGTTAGCCTTACTGCACACCGCCCAGTATTAGCGTTACCTTGACACCGCTATGTGTTAGCCTTACTGCACACCGCCCAGTATTAGCGTTACCTTGACACCGCTATGTGTTAGCCTTACTGCAAACCACCGCCCAGTATTAGCGTTACCTTGACACCGCTATGTGTTAGCCTTACTGCAAACCACCGCCCATTATTAGCGTTACCTCGACACCACTATGTGTTAGCCTTACTGCACACCGCCCAGTATTAGCGTTACCTCGACACCGCTATGTGTTAGCCTTACTGCAAACCACCGCCCATTATTAGCGTTACCTCGACACCACTATGTGTTAGCTTTACTGCACACCGCCCATTGTTTAGCGTTACCTTGACACCGTCTAGCTTTAAAAAAAAAAAGAATCGCCTCACTCAGTAATTTTGACCTAGCCCCACACTCAACGCATAATTAAAGAACCCATGGACGGGGTTTAACAATTATTTGGTCCCATGTGTTGAGTGGCGGGGTGGGGGGCGACTCGGGCGGCAAAAAAAAAATGAAAATTAATTCATCGACTAGTCTAGTAGGTGTTACCCCTTTTGTTTTTTTTGCGTCAAATGAATTGAAAATAACTTAAACACAACCATCCCATCTAATGAAGTTTTGTCTTGCTTTTTTTTTTTTTTATTACAAAAGATGTAACAGTTATTGTGCTGGCTCCCACATTTAAAACTTTAGGTTGCCGGCTTTTATCATTCAACTTTGTAACAAAAAAAAGTTCTGTCGTTCCGTTTAAAATTTATTTTTACGCGTTTTTTTTCCAGGTAATTTTCTATCTATTTTTAGGCCACTCAATAAACTTGTGTATTTAAATATTTTTTTTGTTCAGCTTCAATCAACATTTCCTTTTCATTCTAATTTTTGTGCCCGTACAATTTGTTTATTTTTATCGAACAGTTTTTTTTATTAAACTTCTTTTTATCAAACGCTAGCGAGTTCTGGATAATGGGCAGATAATCCGACACAAAAGAACGTGTAGAAAAACAAACCAAAGCGGCTTCTAAAATAAAAAATCCAGGTAATATGTTTGACGCATAGGCGTATAGCCTACACTTTTCTTCTAAAAATGCATACACTAGTAGCGATCTTTCAGCTACAGTTGATTACATGATGTAGATTAAACTTTGTATTTGTTAGCTGGTCTAATTATCTTAGGTTAATACTTTATTATATATTTTATGTGTGATATGATAAGTTCGTGTAGGGGTCATCCATAAATGACGTCACGCTTTTTTGACGATTTTTACCTCCCCCCTCCCCTCCGTCACACGTCGTCACAGAGCCAGACCCCCCCCCCTAAAATGACGTCACACCTCAGCCTACAACCCCCCTCAAAATTGCTGTTGAATTTTTTTTAAAACATTGATATTTTTCCAAAATCGTGTCTGAACTCTGTCAACATAGAGTATTTTGATCAATTCCTGTTACAATTTATTAAAACCGTTTATTAAAACGCGAAATAACGGCTAAAACTCGTTTTCTAACATTGCTTTTTTATAATGCAAAAGTGTGACGTCACACCATCTACCCCCTCAGCCTTATCACACACCGTCACAAAATTACGGACTCCCCCGTGCGAGTGTGACGTCATTTATGGATGAGCCCCTAAACTTAAAAGTCCAACTAATTTTAGCGCCATTATTTTCAGGGTTCTTTTTAAGAACCTCCGAACAGTGGCGGAACTAGAAAAAAAGGGCTCCCCCGCAAAGAAAAGATTAGGGCCCCCTATATATATATATATATATATATATATATATATATATATATATATATATATATATATATATATATATATATATATATATATATATATATATATATTTATTTATTTATTTATTTATTTATTTATTTATTTATTTATAAATATATCCTGAGTAATTTAGTCTACTTCATTGCAATAAATAACCATTCTGAGAGAACAAACCAGAAAAAATTTAGTCCAAACTCATTTAGTTATATGGAATCTTCATTTAAATGCTGGTCAAAAATATATAAAGACGTTAGCTTGATTCGTGAATGGTTTCTCGCGTTATGTTTATTTTTTTCATTTTTGGCTTTTATAATATCAATTTTGAAAACATTGATTTTTATATCTATATTATTGTATAGTACGTCTTATTTAAGTAGCAATTCAGAGAATCAATTGCTTTTTAATATACAAAGTACAAAACTATTTAAATGAGCTTCGTGGGCATCCCTATTTTAAAGAAGGGCAGTAAGTCATGGAAGTAGTGTGAATGTTTACCTACCTTTCAAACTATAGCTCTTGTAGGTTTTAAAATATTTTTCTACGCAACAATCTCTGCTATAGTAGATCTGGTTTTTTTTTTTTTTTACAAAACCACTTTCAAGATGCATGAAAAACATAATTTTTGAAAAAAAAATTCAATGTTTTTTGGTAGGAACTGGGCCCCTAAACGTCCTGGGCCCCCCCCCCCCCCGCATTGCGGGGTCTGGCGGTATGGTAGTTCCGCCCCTGCCTCCGAACCGGAAACACGCCCATCCCTATGTCTGCTGGTTCTAATTTTGTTTAAATGATGACATTTGTCATTGCAGTCTCGGACAAAAAGTATGGCACACAGAGGACGCCAATTTCCATTAAAATAAATCTAATTACGCATTAAGGAATTTCCCATGTAAAACAAAAACGCATGACATTTAAATAATGGAATGTCTGCGTTTAAAAAAAAACAAAAAAAAAAGATTTTTAGATTCAATTATTATATTTTAATCAGAAAATTAATGCAATTTATATTAATTATAATCTAATAAAGGTGCCCATAAATCGATAAGACAGATTATTAGGCTAGGTTATAAAAATAGCCCAGGAAGCATTGTCTGTTTAAAAAAAAATTAAATATAAACTAATTACTTACTTTTACATAACTATCTTTTTAATTGTAAAAAAAAATTAAATATAATTTGCATGTAAAAAAAACAAAAAAAAAAAAAAAACCACCGGAATTTTATTTTAAATGGGACATTGTATGAATAAATGTTAGAGGGGTTAACTTTCCAATTACAACTCATCCCCTCCCACCTTACTCCCATCAACTTTGGCTTTCCTTTTGCCGTTTTTACCTCCCGTCTAAATCCGAGAAGTCACTCGTCAAGAATGGTGGTCACACTGTCGAAGACGTTCTTTAAATGCAGAAGTCATGAATAATCAGAAACTTCATTTTCCGGTGTCATCCTTGTTGTTTTTGTGCTTTTTTTTTCCATTCTCGTTCGCTTGAAGCCCCGAGGTAAAAAAATAAAAAATAATAATCAGTCGGCTCTTGAAATGACTTTCGATGGTCTTGCCTTAAATCTACCCTTGCCCAATACTCACTAGATGATAAGGTAAAAGCCGACCTCGAAATCGTGCTCCACATAGAAAACACCAGGCTTAAAGAACAATGTGATGTTTGTTTTATAAAACATTTATGCTTCTAAGAATTGCTGTATCGTTATAGTACTATTCTTGTTAGGCTTTTCACATTTCTAAAAAGTCATGAATATGCCCGCACTGTAAGTTGGAGGGAGGGGGGAGGAGAGTTTGATAACACCCCCTTCCAGTTGGACATTCCTTGCAACAACAAAAAATCACCATCATCTTTTCCCGTACGTTCAAAAGACACATGGGGCAGATGAAGTAGAGTTTATCTGTTTCAATGGCCTCGGCATACGAGGATAGTGCGCACAGCCGCATGTGCTTCACTACCATGAGTCAGTTACCCATCAGAGCTGAGTGAACTCAGAGACGTCCTTCAGCCTTCCTCTAAACCTTCGTCATAAACACTATCTTTCGGCCACGTCGCCCTACAGATCCTGTGTACACCTATGGACATAAATAATTATAATGTTTTCATTGCATTACGTGATTCTTACAAGGTGGACAGCAATTGTCCAATCGACCAAAGTTCAAACCTAGACAGGAGTTCTGGCGGGATCATCGAGTCGGTAAAGCTCATGGCTGCTAAACCAAAAAGTCTCGAGTTCAAACCCTCTGGCAGATGAGGCTAGATAGCTGGGTCCAGCAACCCAGCTAGGAGCTAAGAAGAGACAACTCCGAAATTAAACAAATGCTGTCTTGTAGTAAAAAGTTTGTTATGGTTGGACAAAGGCTATGGAAGCAAATCCAAAAAAAAAAAAAA